GTAGCATTCACCAGGTTTTGGACAGAACCTAATATTGATTAAGTTAAGTTAATGTTTGAATTGAATCGAAGCTAATATTGAATTTATAACATACTGCTATAGTATTGCTATAGTTTTTGTCAGGATTGTTTATAAAAATAATACCAAACTTTTCCTTGTGTGGAATCTAATTACTGGGGGGGGAGGGGAGGGGGTCATCTTAAATGTAGGGTCATCTTGGATTTGAGTAAATATGATACATTTACAATGTGATTAACAGGTTAATCGCATCTTAATTGTAACATCTGCCAGGGACATAAGAAAACCTGCCGAGATGGACAGTTACTGTGATATTTTTTTTTATTTTTTATTAGAGCAAGATGCAGGTTCAGCTCTGGGAGGCATTGCGATGTGGGAGCTAATTAGATGCCTATGTTGTGCAGTGTTCCTATTGCCAGCTTTCCATGAAGACATTTTCTTATTATAAAGTGATTTGCAGAAATCTTATGTATACATTTCTAGTCAAAACAGAATTGCAATATGGTCTACTTTAGCTTTAATTTAAATGCCAGAATCGGTACTATCCAAATGCTACAGTTCTATGGGGAGAAACAGTTTTGGGTGACAAATACTGCTTTCAAATTTATGGCAAAGTATAATTGACATAACCAAAAAAAAGTATTTAATGTTTTTCTACATACCAAAAATAGTAACAAGTACTAATTTAACCTCCTTTAGGCCACAATGGATGCATCTACATGTGCCATTAATGCACAGCAATAAACGGCAGAGCTTATTGCTCCAGAACTTCTTGCTCCTGGGGAGCTCCTGGGTGCACTGTTTATATATGTGCTCAGACCACAGCATATTGACTCAAGTCAAACTGTCTGGGGCATGAGGGTGCTTCATTGCAGGGCTAGCTGGCAAGCAGTCCCTGCACTGAAGCACCCTTGTGCCCCCGTCAACCAGGTCAGTGTCTTCACATGTGCTGCTGTGCATGAAAAAAGTCCACAGCAGGGTAGTGCTTGTAAATACAAGTACTACCCTGCTGCAAGGTTTATTAGTTTCCTGTGTCCTAATAGGAGTGCATGTGTAGATGCTGAGATGTTTACTGTGGAGCTAAGTAGTCTACTTCACAGTAAACATCTTGTGTAGATGCGCCCAATGTAATTTTTTCACATGCTACAGAAATCTCATAAGCATAATACAGAAACTGCAGTCTATCATAGTGTCAGTATGCTTACATCTATAGCCCTTGATATTTTGTATTGGAGGTTAATTTTAAGTGTTGCTATATCTTTGTCACAGATGAAAAATACACTTAAATTTTAATTTGAAGTAGATTGCTGAAATTCTGAAAGTGTTAAAAAACTTAGGCCACATAGAAGCATTCATCCCGTCCCTTCTGCTTCTCATTCTTCTTGAGATAAGGGTGATCCTAATCTGGGAAAAGCATGGGCTGTTTCAGTCCTTTTATCCCCAGGGGGACTGGAGCATCAGGGCAAAGCCTCCTGTTCACCTCTCAGTGTGGAGTCCCTGGAGTGAGAAACAGGTAATGGACTGACAGCATCACTGCCTCCACTTGGCTCTCAGTGCCAGCAGTGGGGACTACATGCTGTGAGGAATAAAAGAGGATAAGTCACTCTCCCCTACTGATCTATGGAATAGGTGGGATCAGCTGCTCCTTGTGCCTTCTTCATACTGGAATGATTCTAATCTCTTGGCGGCATGCGAGCCTTTCCTTGTGACATCACTCATCTTGGTCTGTAGGCAGAGTCTCTGGGAAAAAACCTGAAATGCTTGTGTACTTTGGGTTTCTACCAGGAGAGCAGTGATTCTCTTGGTAGAAACAGTGAGTCTGTCCATGGCTTTAGGTAAAAAAGGGCAAGCTATCATTATCTTTTGTGAATGACAGTTGCATGACTACTTACTGTGTAAGTGCCACAGAAAATGTGTATGAGAGAACTGAGAATGAAAAATGGTAGTGCTAGTTGCATTAGATGGTGTTGGAATCTGAACCAAATAGCTTAGTGTGACATTTGATATGTCAAACTGTAATGTAACATACTATTGTAACATGTTATTCTAATATACATACATATGCATATGCATCTATATCTATATAAATACTAGTCAATTGCCCATCAAGAATGATGGGGAGGGTGCTCTGTGAAATGGCTGTGTTTCAATTCGGTTTTGGATTCTACCATTTTAGAGGACAGTGATTCATGTTGGTGGTTTGTATTATCATTGTCCTGTTTCATTTCAGCCAAATCTGTTTCAGAGATTCGACTCTGCTGAATCTCCTCTGAATCTGTTTTGAAGCAGTGCAGGGGAAGCTTTGCACAGCCTTACCTAGGACGGGGCCGTGAGTTGCTCATCCAGAGGAGGGGGAAGGCCGCTGCCCTCTGTGTAGGCAAGAAAACCCCTGCACGGATCTCTGACCCCTGTCGAATCGGGTTGCGTGGCAGGGAAGCAGCGCAGATCAGCGAGCAAGCCTGCTGGTCCCTGCCATGTGACTTGGCTTCGTAGGGAGCAGAGATCTGTGCCAGGGTCTCCTTGCTGCCACTGCCCGCCCAGTGCTGCCCTGATGACGTGGGACTGTGTAGGGTGGGCAGCTGCAGTGAGAAGACCCTGGTGTGGATCTCTGCTGTCTGTGGATTCAGGTCGCACAGCAGGGCAGTGCTGATCCCTGCCATGTGACCTGGCTCCACATGGAGCAGAGATCTGGGGCTGCATGGGATGGGGAGGAGACTCTAGTGTGGATCTCTGCTCCCTGTGGAGGCAGGTCACATAATAGGGATTTCCCAGCTCCCAGCTTAATTCCTTAGCTGCTGGTTCGATTTCTCCAGCCCCCAGTTCAATTCCCCAGCTCTCTGATCATTCCGCCAGCTCTTCCCAGGAAGCATGGGCTCCCAGACCTGCATGCCAGGTTTCAGCAGGCTGCCACTGCAGACTGGGGAGTTGAACTGGGACTTAGATGTCAATATCAGAGCAGTCCTCCCCCTGCTTTTTCTCCTCCCTCTTCTTAGTTTTTGTTTTCCTGCAAGCCCAGCTCCGAAACTCCAAAATTCTCTGAAACATTTTGCAGCCTTCTGATTCATTTCGGATTTGGTATTTCCAGCGCTGAAACAGCCCAAAACATCTGGATGCATTCAAGTCAGCTCTGGATGTATTCAAGTCAGCTGGTCTGGACGAACTCCACCCTAGAGTACTGAGGGAATTGGCTGAGGTCATTGCAGGACCCCTGGCACGGCTTTATGAGCACTCGTGGTGCTCTGGAGTGGTGCCAGAGGACTGGAAGAGGGCCAGTGTGGTTCCCATCTTCAAAAAAGGGAAGAAGGAGAACCC